AAAATCCCAGGCCTCTACCTGCTTTGTTTTCTGAAACACATGATAGCTATAGATGCACGTCATCATTCAGTTTTTCTCCTTTGATGCAAACGTCTGTCCCCTTTTTACTGAGAATAACGGATCAAGAGGCGTCCGAATGACGATTTCTCTTGGTCTTTGCCTTGAAGCGGTATAAACATCACCAATACTACTAGCTTGCCGTTTTTAAATCTAAATCATTCTCTTTGTTTGATTAGAAAGTGTAAGTACAGAGTTTTGTGAAAATGAGTACATCATCAATATCACAACTTACCAGCGTCATATGGTGATGGCGATCAAATTCAGATCCTTTGGACGATAGTCAAGAAAAAGAATAGGAACGTTATTCAGATTTAGAAATTGATTTGATCGAAGGACAATATCAGAACAAAGAGAGAGAAGTAAAATTAGGTAATCATGTGATTGATTTTAAAGCGATGGTTCAGTATAGAAAAGAAGATGGAGATCGACAGAGAAGAGTGAAACGAGAGCAAGTTGATATGAGTCATTATTTGAGAGGAGAACGATTTGGTTTTGCAGAACAATTAAAAGAAGCAAAATCATTTGGTACTGGTCACGGATCTCACTTCATTTGAGAATGGATTAGAAGAAATGAAGAACTGTGCGACGAACAAAATTATCGAGAAATGGTTGAACAGGCTGTGAAAGGTAGACGATACCTTCTTTATTTCTATTTGCATTCATTTACTTTAATTTAATTTTTGCATAGGCATCTTTATAGGCATTCAATTATTGAATAAAGAATTTGAAGGACAGTTAATTGCTGAACAATTGAAATGAGTGAAAGATAAAACAGAAGATAAAATTGTCGAATGTTGTGTTCATCTTTGTTCAAAGGAGAGTTTCTTGTACAAGTTGGTGAATACAACGATGAGAAACGAAGATCGAAGCAAAGTGGACACAGTAGGAGCATATTGTAATCTGCTATATTCTAATGATGCTCCAGAACTCACTTTTTATCACGGTTGTACATTGACAAATGAAATGATTGAAGATCATAAAAGGACAGTTAGTAAGCAGATCGACTGGTTATTATTTACATCAACATCAAAATCACGTCAACAGGCAGATCAATTTGGAAATACTTTGTTTATTATTCATCTTAGCGGTGACGGTTACTACTCAGGCCATCAAAAAGATATTTCATCTCTATCAAACTATCCACAGGAAGAAGAAGTGCTTCTTCAACCTGGAGTTCCGTTGTACCTTGATAAAGTTGATTACAATTACAACTATCGACAAATAGTTCTAGCACCCTGACTGGATCTTTGACCCAACTGCCCCGCGTATATCAGGCGCATATTCTACCGATTGGATCACAGAGTTACAGATGCAGTATAGTCATTACCTCTCATGGTATTTTGATCCAATATTTG